TTATCTATGAACATTCCTATATTGATGAATGACTACCCATCTCTTTTTTACATTTTCTTGGATTATTGCTCACTACTGAACTCTCATAGAAACCATATATACAATCGATTTCGAATCGAAGTTAAAATCTGCTTTCTTCTCTTTATCGTACTTGCTATTTTCCTAAACCTTCACAAATCTCTTATTCACCCCTGTATGAAATACTGTTGTCATATTTGGGATGGTCTTCTAATTATGCTCTTTTTCTTCTAGACAAGTTCCAAAAACGCATTGTAAACTTAGTTAGACCTGCTCTACCTGCTAAGCTTCAGCCTCTCTCCCATTGTTTTAAAGTTGCATCTTTTTCTCTTTTCTACAAATACTACCATGGTTGCTTCTCAATAGATTATATCATTTCTAGTTCCACCAACCAAAATTCATTCTCACTTGACTATTTATTCAGCATAATTTCATTCTCTTACTGTATGTGTCCCTGCATTCTTTTAAAATTTTTATTCGCCAAATCGTTTGCTTACTTTTTTCAATATTTTGAATTATATTAAAAGTTATTAAATTTTATTTAATGTGCTCTAAGCTCGAGTGGATTAGAGCTTAGTCAGTGGCGTCCAATGCATTTTGGGATATTTTAACTAAAGTCTTACATCTAATATTTAAATGCCCGTAGGGCTGTTAAATATTAGAAAACCGTACGCCGCGAAATACTTTGCACTTTTTATTTTGCAGCAACATGTTAAACAACAGCAATAAATTATTTAATGAGTTTTACTTGATCTTATTTCTATTTTTAAAAATAGTAATATAGAGTTGCTAGGTAATGTAGAATTTTTTTTTTAATTAATTATTTTACGTGCCTCAAGAAGTCCTTACGGTCTTATCACAGAGCACTACGGAAGAGTGTTTGAAAGGAAGTTCACACCTTCTTCTTTACCGAAGTTATTTAACTTGCTCAGAAGTGGCGTTAAACCACGGATCTCTAGTTTCTGAAGCAAGCGCGCTAACCACTGCGCTTCGGCTGCTTTATTATATTATCCTTCACTTCTGCATTATTATGGAAGCTTGTTGGTACATTTTAACCAGAACTGTTTTAACGTTTTCTTTGAGTTGAAAATCTTCTCGCTTCCATTTTCACTTTCAATTAGCTGCTGCCTCCCTATTAATTTTAGGTGGTAAAATGTTCTGGCTTCGCCTCCGGTGGCTACCGCCATTCTAATGGCGGCCACCTTTCTATTTAGACACCAACGCCAATAGAAAAGCGGAAACTATAGGTGACTGCCTCTAGAAAATATTTTCAAAGCAAAATGATTTGGAGGCCGCCTCCAGTGGCTTTGCCTCTGAGCTGGCTGCGGCCACCAAATCGGAGACGGAAATATTTGCCTCTCGCTGGCCGATGTAATAAAAAATATTTTTCATTACATCGGTCAGTGAGAGGCAAATATTTTAAATAAATAAAAAACGAGCAGGTTAGTTATTAATTACGAACAAATGTTAAAAATTTGACTTCAAAGTTTTGTTTTATATGATTTATTAAAAAATTTGTGGCAATTAAATTAAAATAATAATTTTGTCGGAATGTTGTTTACCGAATAAATGCGAATAAAACCGAAAAGTTATAGTTTCATAATAAAAAAAAAATGTTAAAATTGGAAAATTTATTTCTATGCCTTAGGCAAAAAAATAATTTAAAAAAAACTATAACAAAAACTAACTTGTTAGTTTATAATTAAAATTTGATTATTTGTCGCCCACTCATCATGCTAAAACTTTCATTTTAAGACCACGATTTATTATTATAAGCTTATTATTATAAGCTTTTATTCCTCAGTAAAAAAATTTTGCGTTATTTTTTTATTCAAAAATTTTAATAAAATTAAATTAATAACATTAATTAATAAAATTTTATTTAAAAATCTTTTTTTCTTCGACGAAACAGCAGAAAAAAACTCTGACCTCCAAATTCCAAACTATAAAATATTTTCTAAAGAAAGATCTGTTAACAAAAGAGGAGGAATTGTGATTTATATACAAAATGATTTAAACACTAAGTTAAGAAATGATCTCTCAAACTCTGATGGAAATATCGAGGTCCTCACAATGGAAGTTACAAACGCGTCAAAAAACTTTCTAGTTTTTACGTGCTACAGACCACCCGATGGTGATACCTGTAAATTCTCAAACTATATGAAATATTTAATAACAAATAATAGAGAGCAGAAAAAATTGTTCATAATTGGAGATATAAACATAAATATCTTAAAGTACAACGAACATGCGGTTACTAAAAATTTCTTTGACGACATGTTTCAGCTTAATATCTTCCCCATTGTCAACAAACATACCAGGGTAACATCTCAGATCACTTTCTAATCTACTTTTCTTTATCACTAGGTTCCAGAAAAATTGTTAATTCAAAAATCTTATTTAAGGACTTGCTATCGGCAACAAATTGGCAAAAAGTCTACCGAAAATGTAACTCAGGAAACACAAACTCTGCGTACATTAAATTTATTAATTTATTTATGCTACAATATGATAAGAGTTTTCTAATTCAAGAAAAAGAAATAAAAGCGAAATATTTAAACTGTCCTTGGATAACAAAAGAAATAAGAAAATCCTCAAAACAAAAACAAAAACTTTACATAAAATATTTAAAAAATAGAAGCGAAGCCAACTTATTTCTCTAGAAGCAATACAAAAACTTATTTGAAAAAATTAAAAAAAAAACATAAAATATTATATTATTCCAACCAAATGCAAAAATAAAATGGAGACTTCGGAAAAAAACATCGGACATTATGAAGAAAATAATTGGTAAAGGTATAACTAATTCTAATAAATGCCTTCTAGAATAATAATTAATCAAAAGGAATCAAACAATAAGCGTGATATTTCTAATGAATTCAACAGCTACTTTGCCAATATTGGTGTTGATCTTGCATCAAAAATTCAATGCCCAAACAATTCATTTAAAAATTACTTAACAGGCTCACACTGCTCCATAAATTTCAACGAACTAAGCCAAGACGAACTTGAGATAGCTAAGAAATCACTTAAAATCAAGTCCCCAAGAATCGATGATATCTCTTGCAAAGTAGTGATAGATGTTTTTGAGGAAATACGTAATCCTATTTACCAAATATTTAACTCATCAGTTACAACAGGTATTGTACCTGATTTATACCAATCTATAAATCAGGAGAGGAGAAGCCAACTCCTTAAACAATTATAGGCCTATTTCAATCCTTTCGGTATTTGCAAAACTTCTTGAGCGAATTATCTACAATAAATTAAATAAATATTTAAAAACTAATAAAATTATTAATAAAGGTCAATACGGTTTCCAAAAGCGACACGCAACAGAGCATGCAATCCTTGATCTCTCAAATAGGATTAGTAAATCATTTAAACAAAAAAAATTCACGTTAGGAATCTTTATTGATTTGTCAAAGGCGTTTGACACCGTCAACCATGAGATTTTACTGACAAAAATGGAAAATTATAGCGTTAAAAATAAAGCTTTAACTTGGTTTAAAAACTACCTTAATGACAGACACCAGTGTGTTAATATAGATAAAAAAGCAACTCAAATTTACTGAAAACGAAATGTGCTGTACCCCAAGGGTCCATTCTTGCTCCTCTTTTGTTTCTTATTTACATAAACGATCTCCCAAATGCCTCTATATTTTCAAAACTATAATGTTTGCCGATGATACAAACTTATTTTACTCATCAAAGACTATTGAAGACTTATTTAAAAAAACAAAAAATGAACTAAAAAAAGTTAATATATGGTTTAAATCAAACAAACTATCACTTAATATAGATAAAACTAAATATATTCTATTCCACTCTACTCAACAAATTAAAAAGCTTCCCCTTAACCGACCAACAATTAATATAGAAAATATAACCATCAAAAGAGCTCAAAATACAAAGTTTTTAGGTGTTCTAATTGATGAACACATTTCTTGGAAGCCCCACATCAACTATATAAATACAAAAATATCAAAGAACATAGGTTTACTTTATAAGGCAAGATCTTTCTTGACACAAAAAAGTCTAATACTCGTTTATTTTTCATTCATACATAGCTATCTTATGTATGCCAATATAGCATGGGGTAGTAACCACATAACTAAATTAAAACCGCTTTATCTGCGTCAAAAGCACGCTTCAAGACTAGTGTTCAACAAAAACAAACTTACTCATGCTCAACCCCTACTGGAGCAAATGAACGCTTTAAATATTTTTCAAATTAATATTTATCAAAATATACTTTTTATGTTTAAATATAAACTGGTTTACTGGTTTAAAAAATTAAGTCTGGTTCCAGAACATTTTTGAAAACAACGTAAACAAATACAAAAAATTCGCCGTAGAATCTACGGAGATAGTCCGGCAGCAAAGTGACAGCACTTCCTCCGTAAAAATTTAGTTTTTATTTTCCGTAAAAATCAACGGAAAAAGTCCGTTAAAAAAAATTACAGAACTTTCTCCGTAAAATTCATGGTTTCCGTATTTCATTTTTTCCGTACAAAATAATGGAGAATGTCAGGCAGCAAAGAGACAACACTTTCTCCGTAAAATTTACGGTTTCCGTATTTCATTTTTTACATTCAAATTTACGGAAAAATTCCGTTAATTCAGCAAATAGACATTTACTTAACTCATTTATCAGAGTTTACGCTAAAGTCAAAAATAAATGAATAGAATTTATATGTTGTTATAAAAATGTAATTCGACTATTAAGAAAATACTCATATTATAATATGATAAACATCAAGTAATAACAGCTATAATAATTATAAACAAATTATATTATATTATAGTGGTTATTATATATATATATTGTATTTTATATACTATATAATATTTATGATAACAAATAATATTTTTTTTTTAATGATAAACTATACTATATAATAAAAATTGTTAAAACGTCTTTTGATCTATTGATGCTCTGTCCACTCAAGCGCTAGTTCGTTTACGAAACTTGAAACATTTGGCAAAAGATGAGCATTCTTGTGAAGTAAATCCATAATTTCAGTCGGCAACTTTTCCAGGGAACCTTGAAAACAGCTATCTAATCATCTAGCAAAGGTTGGATTGAAACCGAAACCAAGGCATGAACCTAAGAAAAACTTTCAATAGTAGTATTTCATTTTAAAAGTTACAATCAAAATTTATCAATGTATATAAATACAAATAAATAATTAAAAAATAATTTAACAATTATTAACATCAAAATTTCTATTCTACAGTTAACTTTGTCAAAAACTACAATTTTATATAATTTAAATATAGATTTTTTTTAGACTGCACTACATATTTTATTTAATATATACCTTCTTTCCATGCGTTTACCCTCCAAGTGGTTTATCCTCCTCCGAAAAACTGCCTTATATAGAGGCTACATACCTAGGCCCATAAAAACCAGTTCAGCTCATTAAATAGCATCATAACCTCTTTGCAGACCAAAGGTAAATGATTTTTAGAAGAATGAAGGATGTTAGAGAGAAAGTTAGAAGAAGTCCAGTAAGAAGGTTAGCATAGAAACAGAGGACAGTATTACACTAAATGTTATGTGCAATTTATGTTTAATATCAAGTTCACCTGATAGGAACCCATGTTATGGATAATGTTTTACATAATTTATGTAAATTTTATATATATATATATATATATATATATATATATATATATATATATATATATATATATATATATATATATATATATATATATATATATATATATATATATATATATATATATATATATATACATATATATATATATATATATATATATATATATATATATATATATATATATATATATATATATATATATATATATATATATATATATATATATATATATATATATATATATATGTACAAGGTATTAGAGAGAAAGTTAAAAAATGTCGAGTTAGAAAGCTAACATAGACACAGCAGACACTATTGCACTAGGTGTTAGAATGTGCAACTTATGTTCAATATCAAGTTTACTTGAAAGAAACCCTTGTTATGTATAAAGTTACACAAAATTTACATTAATTTTAATATAAAAAAAGTGAATGAGCTAAGTTGAGAGATAATGAATGAATGAGATAACATAACGTTTAATGATCAGAAGGGTGATAGAAAATAAAAAATAAAACAAAAAGATACATTTAAATATTATGATGAGATAAAAATATAAAATCACTTAAATAATAGCAGCAAATGTAAAATGCAACGATAAAAATAATTAGCAATAACACCATATGTATACTGTCATAATTTTGTGCATCGTTTATATTGACGTGTTCATATGTATTAAAATTAAAAATAATTAGCAAAAAAAAAAAAAAGCACAACAATATACATGTGAACACGTCAATATAAACGATGCACAAAATTACATGACAGTATAAACAAAAATAGAAATACACAACAATATTAAAAATATACAAAAATACATGATAATATAAACAATTCAAACAAAATGAATTATTAAAACTTAAAAATTGTAGTTATTTTTGCTTTCTTTTAAAAACTTATTAAAGTTTATAACTTTCAAAAATCTCATGAACATTTTTTCTTTTAACTTTGCTTTTTGTTGTTCTGTTTATTTAATATTTTTCTTCAATTTATATTCTTTAATAATTTTCATTGTTTTCACTTTATTAGTTTTTTGTAAATCTTCTACTCTAAACAATTTATCTATTTTTTTTCTTGTTTATATATATATATATATATATATATATATATATATATATATATATATATATATATATATATATATATATATATATATATATATATATATATATATATATATATATATACATATATGTTACAAAACAACTAAATAATCTCAAATATATCACTGTTAATTGCAAATTCAATATAATGTCTAAATAAAATTGTAAATAAAACTTGACTTATTACTTACAAGTTTTATTTACAATTTTATTTAGAGATTATTGATAGTATTGAAGTTTTTAAAGGTCATACTATTTAGTATTACGTTTTTATAGTATGTAAAAACCACTAAACAATATGAATTAGATTTACTAATTAATTATTAGTAAATTATGTTTTATTTATTTACAATGCTATAAAATCTTTTTCTTGTTAACTGAATTTTCTATAATTCATATTGTTTAGTGTTTCTTTTATATACTATAAAAACGTAACACTAAAAAGTATAAATTTTAAAAAATTTATTACATAGGAAAAGGTATTTATACCATATAAACCCTATATAATATAGGAAACTAATTTTCAGAAGTACCTATCTTTGATAAATATCTCTATTTATCTATTTATAACAGCATCCTTAAAAAAAATCAGCACCTAAATTACAAAAAAAATTTTGTAAATGTGCTGCTTTAAAAACATACAGCACTTTAGTTCCAGTAAAACAAATATAAATATATTAAAATCTCTAACTTGAAATTAAAAACGTGTATAACTTCTTTTCGTTAAAAAGAACTATGGCGCTCTGTAAATGTAGAGGCTATACTAAAGTAAACTAAAATATACGGTTAAAGTCCGTTATTTAAAGTTACAGATCTTCTCTGTATCATAAATACGGTCAAAATCCCATAAAAAGATGTGATTATTTCAAAAGTCTAAAAAGTATATACTTTTTAGACTTTTGAAATAATCACATCTTTTTATGGGATTTTGACCGTATTTATGATACATAAATACTCTGTATCATAAATACGGTCAAAATGATACATAAATACTCTGTATCATAAATACGGTCAAAATCCCATAAAAAGATGTGATTATTTCAAAAGTCTAAAAAGTATATACTTTTTAGACTTTTGAAATAATCACATCTTTTTATGGGATCAAAAGTCTAAAAAGTATATACTTTTTAGACTTTTGAAATAATCACATCTTTTTATGGGATTTTGACCGTATTTATGATACAGAGAAGATCTGTAACTTTAAATAACGGACTTTAACCGTATATTTTAGTTTACTTTAGTATAGCCTCTACATTTACAGAGCGCCATAGTTCTTTTTAACGAAAAGAAGTTATACACGTTTTTAATTTCAAGTTAGAGATTTTAATATATCTATATTTGTTTTACTGGAACTAAAGTGCTGTATGTTTTTAAAGCAGCACATTTACAAAATTTTTTTTGTAATTTAGGTGCTGATTTTTTTTAAGGATGCTGTTATAAATAGATAAACAGAGATATTTATCAAAGATAGGTACTTCTGAAAATTAGTTTCCTATATTATATAGTATATACTTTTTAGACTTTTAAAAAGTATATACTTTTTAGACTTTTGAAATAATTAAGGTGGTACACCACTAAAAAGCACTTTTTCAATTTAAAATTGGAATAAAACCAAAAACTAATATTTTTCTGATTATAAATTTATAAAAAAAAAATATTTGAAATGAAATTTTTTTCTAAAAGTTTTTTTTACATCCATAATGGCGGAAAAACTGCTTAAAAAATGCATAAAATTGAATAACTTTGTGACGTGATATCTTCCGTTATATACATTTTCTCTAGTTCAAACTTAGTATATTGTTGCATTATAATGTTTTATTCCGGTTGACAGATGGATTTTTAATTTAAGGACATATTTTAAGTTTTATTACGAATTATTGAAAATATGCTTGAAATTCTAAGTAATTTGACTTAACATGTGAACTAATTTCTTTATTTAAAAATATTTAAGAAGAATTTTTTAAATCGCATCTGTTAACCGAATTTCTTAAGTATATTGAATATACCCTGAAAATTTCAGGCAAAAATCATTAGCCAATACAAAGATATTACGTTTCAAAGTTACCCTAGTATTACAAAAATGAAAAACTGTAAAAAACACATTTAAAGTTTTTTTCCAGTAAATTCTTGGTTAATGTCCACCAGAAACATATGACTGATTAGTTTCATTTGAATTTTGTTTATCACTGAACCCTTTGGCTGTTGATCTTAACTTTTTTCTTTGCTTTATACACTTTTGTGTCGACTTTCGTTTCATTTGATTCACACGAGAATTGTCAAACTGAACAGATGTTATTACTGTTACATACCCAGTCAAATTGAACTCTTTTAAAACATCCAAAATACCTTTACTACCATCATTAAAATGAATAACAGCAGAGTAAGTTCCCATTTCAACTGTTTCTCTACTGACAAAAGTGTTTTTGGGAACTCTAGACCATATGAGGGCATTCAAGGACTCATTAGGATTTCGTGTCTTACCATGAAGGCATTTAAATAGCAGTTGATCGTCTTGTAAGCTTTTAAAAATTGTTATTAGCAGGTTTTTAATCCAGACTGGAATTGAATTTGATGGTATATACTGCTTTGTTTTACTCCAATACCTGCACCAGCTTTCAGAATCACGAGGACAAAACTGATGACGCTCATCTTGATTTAGAATATTTGTTAAGTGGAAAAGAAAAGCATATATAGACTTCTTCATAGCATAAATATTAGTAGTGTTTCTTCTAATAGCAATGCCATAGTAGTTTTGCATCGAATTTATTATCTTATCTGTCAGTTTATTTTTACCAGACAATGGTGTTTTAGTGCCACTATGTAATTTTACTAAACTCCGTAATCGGGTACCCATACGCTTATAGTATAGTTCAAAACTTTCAAAGTATAGTTCAAAACTTTACGAATATAAAAAAGAAGCCTAGCATAGCCTAGGTATATTTCATAAAAAAGAAGCCAAGCATAGCCAAGCTTAAGCATAGATTTTAGGGATTGAATTAGGGTTTTTTATTCTGTTGCTAAGGCGTTGCTATGGTCAAAATTATCAACAACTTTAGAAAAATGCATTTTTAAAGTGTTTTATGTAATTGAACAATATAAGATGGTTATATCAAATGAAAAAGGATAAAGTTTGGAAAAAAACAAGTCCAAAAACTAAATTTTGAAATTTTACTCCAAAATCACTGTTTTTTTAGTGGTGTACCACCTTAAATCTTTTTATGGGATTTTGACCGTATTTATGATACAGAGAAGATCTGTAAAAAAACTCTGTAGTATTTATTGGACTTTTTCCGTTGTTTTGTTACGGAAAAAATCCGTTTTCAATAAATTACGGTCTTTTACCTATATAGGTATATAAATTACGGTCTTTTACCTATATA